ATAAATACAGTTTTTTATTATAATTATATAATAGAGATGGTCATCTCTTTACATAGTCCGAAATCTTCTATAATTTATGTTAAAAAAAAAAGTGCAGATGTAGCCCAAATCAATAAATTGAGGGGAACGGGAGCAATATAATTCTCCATATTTTTTATTTATTATTTTTCTTCCAGAATGACAAGTTTATAATTCTATTGGCGTGGTTGTTAACTACATCATTAGACCTACGCTATTTGTGGGTATTCGGTTTCACGGATTGGATCAGTTTAGCTAGGCCTAGCTTGTTTAATTCTTAAGTTCGTGGGCTAAAATCATGCACGGTATAGAATTCTATAGCAACAGTTATTACGCATCTTCGTGAATCTGTTTTGATTTGACCCTGCTTTATAGTCTTGATTTTAGAAATCCCAATGGAACTTATGGGATATTAAACTAAGATCAGGCTCCAATTCCATTTCCAATTTCAGTCAAGGCATATAAATTGATTCTTCTTAATAGTTACGCACATTGTATATATGGTTTCTAATGAACGCTATTAGTGACCATACTGTGAACAATACCAAGAATTCTTCCTGAAACATCTTGAGACAGCAAACCAAATTCACTTATGCATCGCTTCTTTTGAGAAAGTAAATCTTCAATGTCGCTTTTAACCTCTAAATTCTCACGAAGCTGACACCAACAATCGCTTATATCCTGGCCCATTTCCTTGTGAAGCCTAAATTACGAGGCCCATCCTCGCAGCTTCTGTTGTGGATGCTGGTCATCTTACTTGGTAATCCCAGGTAACCTGAAATTCGGGATGAAAATAATTTACATCAAATATACAATCAACCTACAAGGGTATGATCAATTTTGTATCCAACTATCTTTTTATATCAATTTTACTATCGAACTATTTTATTTTTTCAAAGACTTATGTTAAAATCACTTAAAAAAATGTTAAATTCCTTATAGAACGATGTTGTTTTTTACAAAAGAAGAAGAAGAAGAAGAAGTATAGTTTGAATAGCAACATGGATGGAAAGCCTTAAAAATTGAAGAAAATTCTTAATTGAGAAAATCTGGAATTTTCGTGATAAAATTGATATAAAAATTCTTTGTAGGTAATATTAAAACTACCGTTATAATTGAGTAATATTTTTTAGGTTTGCCCAGACAATTATTAGTCAGATTTCGACATTACAATCTAATTGGCTTCTTTTTTTTTTTAATTAACTAGTAAAATTATTTTGAACTAATATGCATGTCAATTGAAGCTAAAGTTCTTATCCAACCCAACAACCTTCTCATGAAAAGAAAAAAGAGAGGAGAAAAGGAAGACACAGCAAGAGGGGTAACTCTTTGTTTTTTGGAACAACGTAGGGTAACACTTGAAGTATAATAACCGCAATTTGAAGACGTATAAATATGTCATAAAAAAAGATTTTCTTAACAAAGTGGTTATCAAACTAATGATCTGAAGCAGACGATGTAGAGCTGGCCCAACTACGATTGAAATGGCAAAGCTATAAGTCAATTTCTATTCAATCCTTTTATAGAAGGACGGTTGGTTTAGTGAATTAGTTTTTGTCTAGAGTTAAGACTTAGCAATCACTTTTGTTGCCATCTCTCATGAGCTGTAAACCTAAAACTTCAACACAAAAAAGGATGGAATTCTCGGCTCTCGTAAAATTGTTTTTTTTTTTTTTGCTTTCTTTCTTTAATCAGTATTTTCTTTTATAGATGTTAATGCAATGTATGACTATCAACTTTGGTAATATATTTTACAACTATAAACAGAAAAAGAAATTAAGGTATGCAACTAAGGTGCTTTTAATGGGTTGATGATAATGTGCCAACAAAATGCGTTGAGAAGCCTGGCATGTCAATTATTGCTGAATATCATGCACTACCGAGAAAAAAGAGTTATCAGAAATGCTCTGCTCTTGATTATTATTCTTAGTTTTTCAAACTCGATTTTTTTTTTCTTTACCCAAACTGGTCAGATTTATTATTAGATTTTCCAACTTTACTTGATTTTTAAGCCAAATAAATTTTTTAATGAGCAATATTTTGTATTAATATGATTGTTTCATAACACTTATCATGTGTGGGCTACTTACGTGGAAAGCCTAACAAATTTAATAATAATAACAATAATAATAATAACATATAAAAACTACTTTTAAAACAAAAAAATACAGTTACGGTGAAGAAATTTATAATATTAAAAAATACTATCTACAATAGTTATTTTTTAAATATTATAAAATTTTTTTGTTGGGATGACTATGGTCCGCATCCTTTTTTATAATTCCTCAACTTTATCCAATATCCAAATTAGATAAGCAGATTTGACTTCAATACAATCCGATAATTCAAAATAAATCCTACACCATAAATGACTGAACTTGTATTGTGTTGAAAAATTATTAGATATGTTTGTTTTTGTACTGTTTCCTCTTATATAAACATGAGATTTATTATAAAAATTATTCATAATCTGACATTTATATAAGAAATGAGAATATGATTTTCGATGTATTAAATCATTCATGTATTGACTGGTTCAGTGCAGGATTTTCGATATTTCCCTTCAATGTCTGAGGTTCCTTGCTTTATTACCATAAGCAATTTTATAAGGTATCCAGGCTATCAGTTACAAGTGCAGATACTGTCCAGTTTACCAATTTCTCAATTGGTTGCGCCTCCTGGTGCAGGGATGAGTAGTGCATAGATAGCAGGAAAAAAAAAAAGGATGGAGTTGCAAGGTACGCTGCAGGATGTGACTGCCATGAGAGTAGGTGTTAAACAGTACCTCTGACAGGATCGCCGTCACTTTCAAATCACGAAGTCCGGGACGAAATGTAATCATATGCTTCATCAAACTACAACTACGACAGCAGGTCGAAATTGCCCCCCGACATTAACCCTCCGTTTTCTCTAATTGGTATGATCAGAGTACGCTAAACCCACTGTTTACATCTTATGTTGTATGAATACATCAAATAAATCTCTGTATTTTTAATTAGGCCAATTGAACACATATTTTTTAATTTCGAATGCTGGATACGATTTTATTAGATAGATAATTTTTATACATCAGGTAGAATAAAAAAATAACACCCTGTATAGAGTGGAATCCATATGGAGTGTGTGTATATATATATATATATATTCGGTCGAACTTATAAAAATTATAATTTTATAAAATCATACTCAATTGGTTAAATCTACAGATACAAGCATTCAATCAATTGAATTAAAAATACGACAACACTGCTTGACTAGTTTATTTTGCAAAATATTTACCATAACAGTTAATGAATAAATGAGATGACAAGAGGAAAGATGGAAGATCATGAACTCATGATATATTAATATCTAGAAAAAATCATGGCTTTAGTTCATTCCAGTTATCATTGTTGGCCAAACCAACATCCTTAGTGGTCAAATGAAATAAAGATTTTGTTGATTAATATGCATCAGCATGGCGACTCAATATTAGGCATTGAAAGTAAAATAAGGAAAAACTTATAATATGAATGATTTTTGTTTGTTTTTTACTTGGACACTATATTTTTTTATTGAAATTTTTTATTTTTTAAGATTTTTTATTTCAAATTCTTGATTATAACGTCATTAATCAGTCGTCAATATATCATTTTTATTTTTTAAGATTTTTTATTTTATAGTGTCACATATTGATCACTCGATTGGTAATGTTATTATGAAAAACTTGAAATAAAAAATCTTGAAAAATAAAAAATCTCAATAAAAAAAATACAGGATCTATAAGAAGAAAAAAAAATCTAATATCAATTCAATTATTAAAAACTAACATCAACTCAATCATTTTCCGTTTTATTAAATACGAGATGGATTTTATGGAGGAGACGGATCATTGGACTGTCAAGCTTTTGTCTACCACAAAAATATTCATCATAAAAAAATTCCATAATCTGAATGAAAAATATTTAATTTTTAATTTAAATACAAATTAAAATTTACATCAATTACTATAATGATCACTGATTTCGATCAAGGGAGTAAATGAAGAGGCTTGTTCTTGCATTGAACCATTACAGTCACCTTGGTTGGTGACAGCGTCCTTACTTTGCCATCGAGACCTTGAAATCGAGTGATTGTTTGGGTAACGATAAATCACGTATCCAAGTTCGTAATGGATCTCTAAGCAAATAGCGGGAAATTGAGTGCTTTAAAGACAAGATTCTAGATTTGAGAATTATCAATCCCATGTTTTTACACAATGAAAAGTCACAAGACGCAAAGCTATACAAAGAACATATCCAAATTATTGGTTTGCCTCCCTGCACCTAAGTTTCTAATTTAATAAAATTTAATACCAAACCAAGGACTTTATTCTTTGGGTGTTGAGATTCATCTAGCAGAGACATTACTTTTATTATTAGTCAATTAAATAGCTAGTAATCAAGATTCAAGAGTAAAACACGAGTCCAGACCTTAAACAAACAAACTCGTTACTTAAAAGAAAACCCATTGTAGGTTTTTTTGGCCACCCACCCTTAACAAATCAACTAGCATTCCTTAAAGCCTTAATTATTATTTTGAATATTTCATTTAATTAGCAGTACCATGAATTGTATCGCCAGGGGTGAAAATGTTAAACTCCAAAGAAAGATTACAAAAAATATGAGCAGGGGAGTCATTTTCTGAACAGGCAGACAGTAGAAGTCACTCTCAATCTGCTGCAGTCAATCTGCTGCAGTTGGTAGCTTTCCATACAGGAATAAAATCTCTATCTCCCACAAATTCCTGAAAAGCAAAAGTCCTAAAAATTAAAAAGAAAAAAGATAGAGAGAGTTTTTTGCATTTAGTCATAACAATCACTGCCTAACTCCTTCCTCCTCCTCCCCCAACTGTACAACATTTTTCTATTTATTACAACCTCTTCCTTCTTCTTGTTTGTTTCCGAGGAAAACACAGACAGAGAGATAAATAAACAATGGCAGTTGGAGGCGCTGCCAAAGTTGATGAGTTCGCGCCCTTTCCTATTAAAGACCAGCTCCCTGGCGTTGATTTCTGTGTCTCCAGCTCTCCTCCTTGGCGTAATTACTCCTTTTCTCTCCTTTTCTTTGCGTTTAAGTATGAATGCATTTTTAAACTACGTTGTCTTTGTGTTTCTTCTTTGACTCTTTTTTTTTTTTATGTCGTCTCTCTTCTGTTTTTGCTCTTGAGTAACATCATGAAAGTTGGAAATATTTGCTAAATTTTTGTTGTTGTTGCTCTGTTTTGCGACTTCACTGCTGATGGACTTCCCGCGCTTTTCTTTTTCCTTCTTTATCTGCTACTCATTTCTGTGTACTGGATTTTTTATTTGTGAGATTTTGAAATTTAAAAATTAACAGTTTTTCTGCCATTTTCTACTCTCGAGTTCTCCATTTGTTTACGTATTGTAAAACTTTACTTTCATTTTTTTTTCTCAGATCAGTGACCTAATGTACTACTTATTCTCGGTGTTTCAAAAAAGTTGTTTGGTTACTGAAAAACGCAGAGGAAAGAACACGAAGAGGAACTTTGAACCATCCAATATTTTATTTTATTTGAATTAGAATATAAATCATTCTTTACCTAAAATGAATTGTGTTTGTATTTGTGGAAATTTCAGTGATAAATGAAAGTCTCATTAATTTTTTAATTTATTTTTCTCAAGTTTTTTTTTTCTGTTTTAAGTAACCGAAACAAAATGTCATTAAATTGAAATTTAAATACGTACATATAATTAATTAAATATATATTTATTTTTAAATTTAGTGCTTGATTGTGATGATGGTACAGTTAATACTAAAATTTAGTACACTAAATCAATTTTTCTAAAACCTTGTTCTATTCAATGCAGCTGAAGCAATACTAGTAGGATTTCAGCATTATCTCGTGATGCTCGGGACTACTGTGATCATTCCTTCCATAGTGGTTCCTTTGATGGGCGGTGGCAATGTAACAGCCATGTGATTAACAGATTTTGATTTCAAGTTGGTGTTTCTATAATTTCCTTTTAAATGTTTTTTGTTTCAATTTCTCAGGTGGAGAGGGCTGAGATGATTAACACATTGCTCTTTGTCGCGGGGATAAACACTCTCTTGCAGACTTGGTTTGGCTCTCGCCTTCCTGTGGTTATTGGCGGATCCTATGCTTTTATCATCCCCACAATCACCATTGCTTTGTCGACTAACAACAGTACTAATGTCATATTCCTTAGTCCACGACAGGTTAGTTTAGAGTCCTCCCTCATTTTGAAAATGCCGTTCTCCAACTTTTATGCTTACCTTTATTTATTGGAGAATATGCAGGGAAATGCTTAAAATTGCTTGCTATTTTGGAAAGAGAAAGAGTTAACTTAGAATTGACTATTATCTTTCTGTCGCATTTGTGGTTGGTTTTTAGAGGTTTAAGCGATCCGTGAGAGCTGTACAAGGAGCACTTATTATCGCGTCAGGCTTTCAAATGATCATTGGTTTCTTTGGATTCTGGAGAATTTTTTCAAGGTATGATGCTGTGATAGTGTGTTAGTGCGTTTGGGATGACTTGATGCATTATTCACTTGCTTAAGGAAGCCTGGTTTTCTTGTTCTGTGATGCAGATTTCTCAGCCCACTTGCTGCAATACCTCTTGTGATTCTCACTGGACTTGGGCTCTATGCACGTGGGTTCCCACAAGTAAGAGTGCTGAACACCCAATTCAACTAGTTTTCTGGGGGCAATTAATGCATAGAGATTACTTATAGAGATTGATAATTAAAATCTCAAGCTCCAAAACGTCTATCTTCCTTGTGAATTTCCCAAGAGTTCTTATCTTGCCTCTGTCCTTACAATTGCCAATTGGAGTGTGTATAGTAGGTCCTTCTTTAGTTGTTGCCTCGAAATATATGTTTGTTTGAATAGATGGCTGTTTAATCTTTGCGATATCTAGTATAGTTGACGTATTAAGCTAGTTGTGTTATGGATGGAACAGTTATCAATGAAACTAGTAGTTTTAGTGCTGCTTTTTCTTCCATTTGGATATTAAGTTTTGTTTAATATGCTTTCTCTTGGTTCATGGTTGTAGCTAGCGAGATGTATGGAAATTGGACTCCCAGCACTACTTCTGTTGGTCTTCATATCACAGGTGAGCAACATCCTCAATTATTCTTGTTTATTTCACAGCGAATCAAAGAGTTCAGTTGTTTTAGAATTGAAAACATACATGTAAGATCAGAGCCTCTGTATGGATCTCAATTGATATTTATGCGTATATTCCTTGATGGTGGAAGAGATTATTAGTTAGCATTTTCATCATCTAGTGCAATGGCTTAATTAACAGAAATTGAGGGTGGACCACAAAAATAATGCAGTAGCCAGGTGTGTTAGCGGGAAATAAAGCAGCTGGGTTGGTTTCCCGTTCCTAGGCAAGGGCCTTGTTTCCTCACTACATGCTCTTCTTAGATGGTGTCCCTTAGATATCCTGAACCTGGATATTAAATTTGAGAACGGAGGGATCTTTTTTTATCAAATTATGTGCTCTAATTGGATACGAGTTGGCGAGAGGTTACCTTTTTTTTTTTTTTTTTTTTAATGAATAATTTTACCTGATATTCTTGAGGTTTTTTTAATGACATTGCAGTTCGTTCCTCATATGATGAAATCAAGGAGCGCCATATATGGTCGGTTTGCAGTCCTGTTTACAGTTGCAGTTGTATGGGCATATGCAGCAGTTTTGACTGTTGCTGGTGCATATAACAATAGGCCTCCAAACACGCAATTTAGCTGTCGTGTTGATCGTGCTGGGCTCATTAGTGCTGCTCCTTGGTGAGCTTAGATCTATTAACAAAACCTTGAATCAATTAATTGCATTTATGCGCTAATAGTATAAATTCACAAGTTGAGCTATATATTCAGGATTAAGGTTCCATATCCATTTCAATGGGGGGTCCTACTTTTAAAGCTGGCGATATTTTTGCCATGATGGCAGCTTGTTTTGTTGCTGTTGTTGAGGTATGATTTATCAAGATCGTTCCTTTCTGTGTTCCTTCTGTAAATGTCAAATGCAATGTTTCGTCTAATCGAACCTTTGCTGATAGTTAGGACTCAGCCAGTTCTAAATGATACTCATGGATGCTTGTTTTGTAAATATTGTTAATGCTTGTTCTATAAATATTGTAATTCGGGAGATAAATGACAGTACTTTCTTTTGTGATGATTCTTACGTGGAAGAAAATTCGAACCCTTTCACAACTGTAAACAAAGTAAACTCAGTGTGTGCTCATATGAATTGCTTGAGTTCTTGGTTCTCAGCTCCTGTTCTATTGTCATTCTTCCTTGCTGAAATTTCCTAACAAGCACTCCACTTTTTTATTTAACGCTATTAATGTTATTTATTTATTTATTTATTTTTGCAGTCTACTGGTACAATTATTGCAGCCTCAAGATATGGGAGTGCCACTCCTCTGCCTCCTTCTGTACTCAGCCGTGGTATTGGATGGCTGGTAGGACATGATCCACTGGTGTCTCATTTTCTGACCTGTTACATTCCGGTAGTTGTTTCTGGACACAAATCACTTCTCTAACTTTTACTGATGCCCAGGGGATTGGAACTTTGCTGGATGGATTGTTTGGTACAGGAAATGGGTCCACTGCTTCAGTGTAATAACTTTAAACTTTTGAAGTTAGTTTTTTTCTTTTGTTGAAGAGTGGATTGTTCGATGAGAATGTCCTGATACTCTGACCTTCATTTGACTATAGTTTACCATATTCATAATCTACAAGCAAAACGCTTAACCAACTCTCATGTCTTTGACCGATATGGTGGAATTACACGATCTCAGTTGTAAAATTGGTTTTGTTTGGTACCATTAGGGAGAATTGGAGGAAAGCCGACATTGCTCAGATTAGAGCTAAGGATCTAGATTTTGCAATCCATATGTTGATTTGCAAACTATTATGTTGCTTATGTAAGATGTTCTATTCACGCATAGTTGTAAAATACTGCTGCCGTTGGGTGTACTGAATTCATGGATGTCCTAATCCTAGCATTCTCCTTGCTAATTAAGTAATCTAATTTTGCTCTGCTATGCTTATAGTGAAAATGCAGGTCTTTTGGGATTAACAAGAGTTGGAAGTCGGAGAGTCGTTGAAATATCAGCAGTCTTTATGCTTTTCTTTTCTGTGCTAGGTGCAGTATTCCACATCGAGTTGTTTTTTTCTTTTCCTTTATATTCCTTTTTTTAGTGAATTATTTGAATTTTATTTATCATAGCAATCAATGTTTTTAGATTCTCCTTTTGTCCTGTCATAATTATTGATCACTGTCTTTTTGAAAAGGCTCTTTGTTCCCTATCATTTCAACTTGAAGTCTTGATCAATTTTGCAAATAGAAATTTATCACCATCTTTATGTGGTTCACAAAGTATTTATTCTTATGGTGATGCAATCCATCTTTAACAGGAAAATTCGGGGCTGTTCTTGCTTCTATACCATTGCCAATTGTGGCAGCTCTTTACTGTGTCCTCTTCGCCTATGTGGGTATGTATTACTTTTGTATCGTTTTTGGGGTTGAATTCTATAGTATGAATCAATTTCACTGAAACAGTTTGCCTATCTAAAAGAGAAATGGCAACAATGAAGATTAAAATTCTTAAAAGACTACTGAAGGTCTGACATAAGGTTTACTAAGAATTCTTAAAATTTTGCATTTGAGCTTTGCTTAATGTTACTTTACATAGGTTGCTCCCAGCTGATGATGAGCTGTTAGAGAAAAGCCAAAAGTCTCAGTAATAGGCAGTTAGGCCCTCTGTTCTTGGCAGCCATTGTATACCCCCCTTAGATGCTCCTGTAGAAACTATATGGCATACCTAACACAAGAATCATCTTCTAAACTGAATCAATAGGAATTACTGTGGTAAATGAAATAGTGAGCATCTGTAAAAATGAAATTAGTTTCTATGAGAATTTTTAATCCGCAGCCTGTTAATTGGGAATGATCCCTATCACGTTGTCATTGACTGACATTTTTTTGTCAAGCTCGAATGATAACTCGGTTGTTGCAGCCAGAATACGGTGGGATCTTCGTAAGAGGGCCGGGTTGAGAATCAATGTTTTTTGTACTTGTTTTTTAATATATGGGGTATATAAAGATAAACAATAATCAATTTGTTTTGTAATAGCTCTTAGATATGCTGCATTGTTCTGCTGTCAACCTCTCTTTAAGGAAACTGTTTAAATCGACTACTAACTGTCATATTCTTGTGGGATAAGCAGCTTCTGCTGGTCTGGGATTTCTCCAGTTCTGCAACCTGAATAGCTTCAGAACAAAGTTCATCCTCGGCTTTTCTCTCTTCATGGGCCTTTCTGTGCCACAGTACTTCAATGACTACCTTTTGGTTTCTGGCCGTGGTCCTATCCACACTGGTGCCACCTGGGTGCGTATGTTTGGTTTGCGTTTTATCTTATATAGCTCAATATTTCTACAATAAGTTTATTGAGAGATTCATATTTTTTATTAAGTTCTGATTTCTTGTCAGTTCAATGATGTAATGCAAGTGATCTTCTCGTCTCCGGCGACAGTGGCACTTATAGTTGCTTATTTCTTGGACGGCACTCACAGTCTGGGGCACAGCACAACCCGCCGAGACAGTGGCAGGCACTGGTGGGAGAAGTTCAGATATTTTAGTCAAGACACCAGGAGTGAGGAGTTCTATGCACTACCTTGGAACCTTAACAGGTTTTTCCCTTCATTCTAACTTTGGAGCTCTTGCTTGCCGTCAAGGAAGAGCGGAGAAGAAGTGAAAATAGAAAACAGTCTGAATCTGTTGCACTCCTATTATTTAGTAGTTGGGCAACAATGTTATACATCAAAACCAAAACTCCCGAGTAAGGATATCTGCGTAGGGGAAGTTGGGCCAGGCACACCAACTTGTAGTCTAAGCTTGTGATTGCAAATACCGTTTATAAACTATTAAATGCATGAAGTAATGATCATAGAAAATTTACCATACACGGAATTTTATTCACTGTAAACAATTAACAGTTGCGAACCTAATTCGTGCTCCTTTATAAAAAATTGATGTTAGCTTTGTTAAGCATTCTCAAATATAATGCATGTTCTAGATTTAATTTTAGCTTGTGATGAAACTTTTGTGTCTTGCTTCTTTCATGAGAATAAGAATCTGTCATGCTTTGTGAACAGTAGTAGCCTTTATGATTGCCAAGGATTTCTTTTTTCTGGATGAATCTAACATTCGTCTTTACTATAGATGTTGTAGTGTAATTAACCATAGCTAAATTCTTTTACACCAGATTTTTATGTAGTCTTGTGTGTGAGAGCCAGTGTTGTAATTTTACAAAATCACTTTTGAAGGAATATGAGATAGAATTTAGTTTCTATCAGATGGTTTCCCCCCCCCTTTGTAGTGTACAGTACGTTCCCACAAACTATTTGTCTTGGCTTTTATTTATATATATATATTTTTTTTGTTACAACTTTAGACGTGACAAAAAGTTTATCTTCCATTTCTCATCATCCTCGTTGGAGGACTTTTAACGATTTTCTGAAACAAGTGAGGGGGTCAATAGTGACTAAAATTTCTAAGCCTTTTTTCCTGATCATCTGCTGGACCCAATTTCCCTAAACGGAAGTAAAATGAACTAGAATGTTAAGTGAATGTAGAACTTCCAGCTCAAGGCCGTTTAGGTGTCACTTCGGCAAGAAAGCATGGTTGAATTCGGTGATTGAAATTTGCGTTGAAATTAGTTTGTTCCATGCTCCCTTGCGTTGAACAGGGATTTCTGATTCCTTCTAGGCTTCTAGCTGTCTTTCCTTGTCATTCATTATTCTTTGCCTTACAGTTTGAATATCAGGCTAAAATTCATGGAAGGTTCAGAGTGTCGGCATGTGATACTGGATGGCTGGCAGTTTAAGGCTCAATTATATTTGCCACAGTCCCATAAAGAATTGCATTTCTATTCCATATGATTGTGACCAAAAAGAAACTAGTAACTTTTACAAATGAACTGCTAATGGGGTGTTTGGAAACATTTTGTAGACTTTTCATTGTGAATGCATAGGGACCCATCATGTAAGCATGAGGGCTTTCCTGAGTGGTGTGGTGGTGCATGTACGAGCTGAAGCCCACAAAGAATCAAAGTGAGAAGTAAATGAGTGTGGTTTCAATCAAAAAATCAGTCATGGGCAAAAAAACCAAGGTCTATCATTTGTGTCTTTGCTTTATTATGGCACCAAACCATAACTAGCATCCAAATTCTAATTAATAAGTTAGCAAAAAAATGGTTGTTGGTTTATTGCCGTTTTGGTAGCCAAGAAAAAAAAAGGAAGAAGAAAAGTTGCCAAGTCATTTTGAGTAAAATATGTTACTGTGCAAATTAGGCCAACTAAAATTTGACCCAAAAAGTGTAATTTGAAATTAGTTTCCTTGCTTCCAATCGTTCAATAATCCACCCCGTTGGTAGGAAAAAGAAAAGGTTTCTTACAGTTGCAAATTTTGAAAGTTAATTAGGCTGTGAACCTGCACATTTATACCTTAGTTTTTGACACACGAATACATTTATCTAAGTTCCAAAATTGCCCAAATACAGGGTATTAAGCACATCTTCGTGGCAAAGGGCCATAAGGTGCTTGAATGTGAGTGGGTGCTAAAAATGTCTTCAGCCTGTGGCCTGTAGGGGCTTTACAGCTATGACAAAAAGTCAATAGCTTACTCAATATTGAACAACAGCAGTGAAATGGTATTAAATTTGACGTTGCTTGTAAAAGTAAAAAAGGTATTGATATCTTGTTTATTTTGGAAAGAATTGAATTATTTTGCTTGTGCAAGGTTTGCCTTCTACATTAACAGGAGGCTACCCTGTATCTCATTGGACTTATTTAAGTACAAAACATTAAATTTAAACTGGCACACGTCGATCCATCAAACATCAATTCTGTTTCTGCTTAATTTTGTCTCTCACAGGCAAATTATGTGCAAAATCTCTAAAGGTATCTAATCTACCGGCATGTGCCTAGATTATGTGCACCATTGTTATCTTTTTACGTGCATTTTGTGCACTTGATATCACTCACTATTTACTTGAGGTTACCAAATAAAAATGCTATGTTGCCTATAACAATAATGTAGATTCAACACACAAAAGTAGGATACTAACAATGTGATCATAGACACAAATTATCGATCCAAACACTAAGCATGTTTATTACCATCGCTAGTAGTAGCATTTCCATAGCCGATCTTGGAGTTGATGAAAATGGACCCGAGTATATTTTGCAATCGCTTCGCAATTCAGTTTTTTGTTTGGTAGTCACCAGTCATAATCCAGCAGCTAATGGGCTGAAACTCTACAATTATTGGAATATTAACAAAAAAAGGAAAAAAAAAAAAGGAAAAGAAAACCATAAGCTGCAAAAAGCTCATCATTTACCATTGGTCAAAACAAAATCACCATTCATAAACCCACGTGAAAAAATCAATACAACACCACACACCCTTCTCTATTTCTAACCTCATCTTTCAACACACTGATGAACACTCTCTCCTCCGTTAATCAAAGCTCTGGAGACAGAAAGCCGGACACAAACAGAAAAGACAAAACCCAGGAAGAAAGAAAGTGAAAGAAATTAAGAGAGAGAGAGAGAGACACACACATAAACCCGAAACATGTTATCCCCAGAAGACCCATAACCAAGCCATGTCCAAACCCAGACAGTCACCACTAAACACCACCACCACTCTCTTCCTCCCTCTTTCCGCCGTCACCAATGCCGTTATCCTGCTATTAACCAGCCACAGCCATCCTCACTATGTCTCACTCTCACTCTCACTCTCACTCTCACTCTCGCTTACCAGAGCACTCTGCCCCTGCAGTTAACAGCCTGTACTGCGGTGAAGATGTCAGCGAGGTCGTCCAACTGAATGCTGACACGTGGATCTCCAGCCACCATCAATCCCCATCATCGTCCGTCATCCTTTCTCCACCATCCGATGAGAATACAATCACCAAACTCATCGACTCTGAATCTCACTTCATGCCTTTGTCTGATTATCTCTATCGTTGCCGTCACCGCTCCATTGACATCACGGCTCGTCAAGATTCCATCAACTGGATCCTCAAGGTACCTATACTTATAGATACTTATATGTTGACTGTATATATAGGTACCGACATATGTCTGTATGTTTTGATGCGGTGGTGATATTCATTGCTTGGTAATGCAGGTGCATGCACACTATGCCTTCAGGCCATTAACGGCTCTACTCTCCGTCAATTACTTCGACCGTTTTCTTTCCTCACATTCTCTTCCGGTAAATAAATAATAAAGCACCCACCACTTCTTTCTTTTCCTAGAAAACTTCATTTTCCTCGTGAAAGTATTGGATTGTCCAGGAAAATTCCAAATTTGTCTTCTAAATATTCCATTTTCAGCTCTCCCATTAAAATGTCAGATTTTCCGGGAAAGCGAATACACATATTAGACAAAAGAGTGATTGTTTATTTATTGATTGATTTAAAGCTTGATATTTTTAATTGAAACAGGAAAATGGATGGCCGTTTCAGCTTCTATCAGTGGCATGCTTGTCTTTAGCAGCGAAAATGGAAGAACCCGACATGCCATTGCTATTAGACCTTCAAATTCTTGAACCCGGATTCATATTTGAACCCAAAAACGTTCAAAAAATGGAGCTTCGAATCATGGCCCATTTCAATTGGAGATTACGATCAATCACTCCATTCGATTATCTCGATTACTTCATTTCAAAGCTCCCTTCTTGTTCTTCTACAAAACCCGACAATTTCAATCGGGTCTTGAAAGATTCCTCGGATCTCATTCTCAATACCACCCGTGGTAATTCAAATCCTCACCCGAAAATCTGATTCATGTCTTACAATGTTTATGAAATTTTTTGAAAGTTTTTTGGGATTTTTTCAGTGATTGATTTCTTGGGTTTTGCACCGTCGACGGTGGCAGCGGCGGCGGTGATATCCGCTGCCGGCAAGAGTTTTGATACTGTACCATTGGAAGCTGGTGTTGGGCAGTTCTTTCATGAGAGAGTAAACAAAGTAAATCTTTACATTCTTTTGGGGTGTAAATAATAATTTTGTTTTCAGTGGGGTCTTTTTTGGAAATATATATAATATATTGGGTTTATTTTGTATTTGCATTTACGAGAAATATTGAAATCTGTGTAATAAAAATGTGTTATTTTTGAAGGAAACGGCGATAAGCTGTCACCAACTAATGGAGGAATACCTAGTTGACACATGTCCATCGGCTCGGCATAAGGAGTTTTCGGCTGGGCCCCCAGTTGAGCCGGCTAGTCCAGTTGGCGTGCTCGATGCAGCTGCAGCTTGTGGGAGCTGCGACACTCGTTCCGAGAATCCCATCTCGGCTAGCAGCCAAGCCTCCCAAACTGAGCCAATTATTAAGCGGCTAAGATCTTCTGCACCGGATGTACAGGAACCGTAGATAAGACTATTGCCCAGCATGGCCAGATACTCTCTCCAATTTTTATTATCTTTATTAGAGGGAGACTTTTTTTTTTTCCTTATTTCTTTGCGTTGATTATAAAATGAACGGACGGGATTGGATATAAATTAAGGGAGGAGGGGTTTTGTTATTACTATATATTTACTTTATTGATTAATATTCATAAAAAGTCTTTTTTTTTTTTTTTTTTTGATGGGTCATATTTTGCTTTGGTTGGGCGTTTTGGTCAAAATGCAAAGTGAGTGTTCAGGTCATGATGTTTCAATTATCCTCATCAATCATCTGTCCATGAAAACTAATGGGGTCACGAGAAATCTAAATTCAAGTGTTTCTTTTGATCTTGCCTAAACTACCCTTGTTAAAAATCCATAATCATATGGTTGTTCTGTTAGGATCATGGTGGTATCTTTCAAGATGGGGTCCAGTGGTATCAAGCCACGTGTCCGACACAAATTACGTAAAGTGGGTCCCTTGTTTATAATGATGATGTTCAACTCTCCTGTAGATCAGAAAAGGAAATGGATTTTTCATTTTCAAAATTGTTGTCCTTGCTATAACTGAAAAATAAGCTTTGATAAGACTTTTGGCAGGGTTGTACTCCGAGGAAGCTCGCCAAAATCGATTTGGGTTTGAATCTAAGTTGTGATGGGATTTTTGGCAAGCGTATTAATCTAGATATGGATAATTTATCTGAAAATCCGCTGGATAGAAAATTGGTTTAGTCTAGGTATGGATGAAAAATCGAATGGATAGGAAATTACTAAATGAGTTTTGTTACGTGAAAAGAAATTCGCATTGAGGATGTACTAGTAATATTGGCTGGCAATGGCAAGGGCAATGTAAGGTTTGGTGGAGAGTTTGGTTTGGGTTCGGACCATTAGGGAAGTGATGAGGTGGGCGTGACGTGTACGTGCCACGTAAAGGGAGGAGAGAGAGGATTTGGAGGGAAAAGAGGTGAGTGGTGGTGTTGTGGGAGACAGAGAGGAAAAATGAATCAGGGCCGTCCAGGTGTAAAAAAAGAGTTGGAAGAGGAAATGTAGCAATAGAGGGCAAAGATTTGACAAGATGGGGTGGGGATGGAGGGGGCTATTTCCATGTCAAATCACATAGGAGGTTGTTCGGGAACAACAGAACCAAAAAGATATCTGGAGAGAGAGGAATGGGTTACCGCATGTTTGAGCTATGGTTCAATAGGTGTATATATGGATAGTTCTGTTGGTGCCCTCGGGACAAAGGTTTGTTCTCTTTTGTCACATTGCAATTGATTAGCAAATTAGCTTTGAGGACAAATATTGGTGATCAGAGTGAATTCCGCCAGCATCAAGTCATTTCCTTTTTATTTACTGATAGAAGAAGATGTTTCAGCTACTTTTTCACCGTATCGGACGAGATTTTAATTACTACAAAATGTACATAATTTATATATTTTTACTTCAAATATTTGATATGAAACATCTCCATCGTACTGGACAGAACCAAACATTATTGACAACTACGTACGCCTACAATTTGATCTCCATAGCACAGGTGACCAGGTGAGCCTGCCCATAACATTATAATAGGTTGGCATTCCTATTTTTTTCCTTTTTCTTTAAAAGAAAGAAAGAAAGATATAACAGCATTCCTTAAGTGTACGATGAAACGTGTTTTGGACAAGTACTTACACCTTAATTAAATATAGTACCATGTGATTTTCATTTTAAGAAAGAAGGAATTACAAAATCTGTACCATGTTTCTAGCTCGGAATACATTTCAAAATTACATTTTAATTACTTGATAAAAGTCACGATGAATAGCCATTTTTAGAATTAAAAAACTCTCTCTCTCTCCTTATTTTTATACGGCATACAGGGTTAGGTGTGGTTGCAGCTAGCTATACTCGTACAAATATTCTCACATCTGACTAATTGATTTGCCAGTGTTTAGCTACATTTCGATCCCGACCAGGTCCAGTCTTCAGCTTCGCTTAACATTGTAAACCATTAAAAAGACGGACATCCCTTTTACTAAATGACATGCATTCCAAAATTTTGAATTTTATCGTGTCTCTATATATATATATATATATATATATATATAAAAGATAGACGAGGTTCAATTCCAGAAAACTTGATTATAAAATAAAAAATCCAAACAGATCCTAAAGCTATTGCTGTTGTGGGAAGCACTTGTAACGAGCAACCACATGGTAATTGATCACGCCAATTTATCTATTTTCCTTTACTTCTTGTTGGCTTTTTTTAACTTTTTCGCTTTCAATTAAAATTCTAATGAACCCATGTCAAGTGCCCCTCCCCACGCTCCTTTTCTTGCGTCTAATTTGCACCGAGATTTTGTCATTTCTCAGCTCTAATAATTTTGTGGCTTATTTCTCAATTAACTAATCTTTTTGTAATTTTCTAATAGGTGCTTAGTACAGTGACTGTGAGTTTTTTATATTTACAAATAATCTAGTATTCGATTTTTTTTTAATATTTGATCTTAAAAAAATATTTAAAAATATTAGAATAATTTATCATCTTTGTACTAATAGTCAACTCAGTTTATCACAATAATAAGATTTTTTTTTCTTACTTTACTAAATGTTAATTACTAATATTAATTCATTAACCCATTTAATAATTGACGAGAGCTGCAGGATTCTATCCATGAAAAAAAAAAGAAAAAAAAGACTATCTTTCTTATAATCTGTTCATGTTCTCTCTTTACACTGTTTACTAGCATTATTGTCGCCTTTCTCCTCAACATGGCTCGAAATAGGAGCCACAAGTTTGTGGCTGGGATTTCCTACAAAAATAAATTGGTCAAGGCGGGTCCCATATCCAGGCTGTAAGCAAAAGCATGCAAAAGAGGGCCCAAAACCTTCACCAAATTTCCTGCACTGCAGGAACAGCAAACATGTAAAGGAAGTATATAGAAAGGAAGTATGTGTAGACGTATGGGAAGCAAGATTGTGTGTACATGTGAAACTGGAGTTGGGGCAGAAATGGGCCATCATGGCCACAAATGTTCAGAAAAGGGCCCACTTACAAGCTAAGGTGAGGGCAGTAGTAAAAGCCATAACAGCTTTAGGAGAAAAATGGTCTGACCTTAGCAATGGGACTGGATGGAAAGAGCCAATGCACGAGACAAACAAGCATTAACAGCCCAGATCAACACCAGCCACCCACCATCGCTCTTTCGGTCATCCCGTGCCTATGCCTGCATGATCAAATGGGCATCCCTTGGTCCTTCGATTGAACCACGCCACACGGTCTCTTTTCTTAAGGTGGTTTTTGGATTGAGTCTGTTGATTCATGTTATGCTCCGGCCAAGTGCCAGCTACTGTAGTCCTGGCTATTCTATAAAGTAAATTATAACTTAGTCCTTCTAGTTTAACAAAAATAATAAACCAATTCTTGATTGTAGTTTCATAAACTATATATTTAACTCCGATATTCTTAAATTTTCTAACAGTTTAATCCTTCTGTAAAATCCATGTTCCTTTCCCAATTTATTTATTTTTCCTTGAAAAAAGAAAAGAAAATAGGACATTTTTGCACCGGGAACTATAAATTGAGGATGGTCAATGCCTAACATGGGCTATTTAATTTTTTTAATACTACAAGTACTAATTCGTTATTTTTCATAAACTTAAGGAGTAAATCGCACTTTAATCTGCCTGCGCCCTTCCCTTTGTTCATTGTTTCCCTTGAACGAGTATTTTTATGGGACAACATTTAGCATGTGTTTGTTTCTCTCTTCCTTGAAACAAATCTATAATATTTTGGTTTGACATCAGTGGTTTTCAGCTTGTATGGCCATTAGATGATGCAAAGTGAAATTATTTATCGCCAATTAATAGGATTTACCAATTACCCGTGCTATAAACTCTGGGCTTTGCATTCTACTCAGATCCTCCCCACTTGGGCGTCATATTCACATATATATATATATATACACATATAATTGTGATCATGATACATACATAATATTAATTATAATACATAATATTTAAAATGTATTTAATTAATTTTAAAACATGATATTGATTACAATAAATGTATTAATTATGATATATGATATTTAAAGTGTATTTAATTAATTATGATATATATAATTAATTAATCATCATATGTGATATTCACAGTGTATTTAACTAATTACAATATATGTGATTAATAATGATATATGATCAAATTTTGATTAATCCTATAAAAAAGAAAGTTTTATTCTTTTTTAATTTCTTAATGACAATAACAAAACTAAAAGAAATCTGAAAGCTAACATATTTTTTCATCATTAAGAAATAGATCAAGAGAAAAGTCATTTTTTTTTATCTATTTTACACTTCTTAGTATTCTTCAAATTTTTGAATGAATCAAGTATTTTTCTTTACAAATTACGTGAAAAATATAAAATTTTTAAAAATAATAAATTTATGTCTTGTTGTTCTGATTAATTACAATTCTTATCTATGATAAATTTTACATAATATGGCTTGAGCTAAACTTTAAAAGTTCATGAAGTTTGTATTCTAAAAGGATAATTGCATGCAAGTAAATCAATTTTTTACCTTTTCTCAATCAAATATATGGATTATAATTTTTTTTATTTCAATACATTAATTTTTTCGAAATTGTCAATCAAGCATTTTTTTTTTAATGTTTTCATTATACAATTATGTGTTCGTTATCCTCAAAATACCAAATTATAATTTTGTATTTTTTTTTTGATTGAGTGCATGAACTTTGATTTTTTTTGTTTGAATAAACCAATTTTTTTTTCAAAAAGATCAATCAATTTATTCGCTAAATGATGGCGTGTTCCTTACTCATTGACTACTAAATTATAATTTATCTTCTTTTGTTAGAGGGACCTTTTTCTTCAACGAATCTTTTTAATGAAAAATCTCATTTTCAGTTTTTATGCCTAAACATAATTAAGATTAGTTTGGGATTTTATAGTTAATTTTGTTTTTTGTTTTAATTCTTTATCA